AAAAAAAAAAAAAAAAGCTTAAAAAAAATACTGAAATCTTCATGATTGTAGACAGTTTTTTTTAATGTTTATTTTTGAGAGAGAGAGAGAAAGAGATAGCACAAGCAGGGGAGGGGCAGAGAGAGAGGGGAACAGAGGATCTGAAGCAGGCTCCGCGCTAACAGCAGAGAACCCAATGTGGGGCTTGAACTCACAAACCATGAGATCATGACCTGAGCCAGAGTTGGACACTTAACCAACTGAGCCACACAGGCACTCTCTCTTTTTTTTTTTAAACGTTTATTTGTTTTTGAGAGAGAGAGAAAGAGGGAGTGTGCATACGAGTAGGGGAGGGGCAGAGACAGAGAGACAGAGAGAGAGACAGGGTCCAAGGCAGGCTCTGAACGGACAGCAGAAAGCCCAACGCAGGGCTTGAACTCACAAACCGTGAGATCATGATGTGGGCCAAAGCCGGACGCTTAACCAACTGAGCCACCCAGACACCCCACACATTTCTGGAAAAAAATACAGAAAGATTCTGCAAGGCAATGAATAAAATCGCAGTGTGAAATACTGCTCGATAACAATAGTTGGAGGACACACAGAACTAGATACCGAGCGAGCCCGGCACGTAGCCTGGCCGATGCACCTGCGGCCCCACACCTTGCTGTGTCCCAGGCCAGACCTGAGGAGAAGGTGATGAGGAGGAAGGGGAGCCAGGTGCAGTTCTCCTACCCACCCTCCAGGAAGTTCTGGCTGCAGAGGGTGCTGGGCAGTCATGCCACTGGTCCTTATTACTACTGTCATAATCAATTCAGCTAAAGGCCACCGTGGCAAAGGAAGGCAGATGAATTTAACTCTAACTCTACAGAATCAATGCATAAAGGAGAAAGATTTAGTGACAGTTTAAGCCGGAAAAATTAGCAAATTCTCCAAAAGCAAAACCAGAAAGATATCGTGAACAAAATACATATGTCAGAACTGTTTCCTTTGGAAAGGCAGGGCAGAGGACGAAGAGATCCCGTGGAGGCCTTAGTTATTTCATCCAGCAAACTAGGTTATCAAGTACAGAGGGGAGCCACCAGGCAGGCCCTCCTGGGGGAGGGAGGCTGACGCGGTCACGAAGAGGAGGAAGAATCCAGACTGCTCTCTGACATCTGGGCCCCGGAACCCCTAACCGCCATGAAAAGCAACACTGCGCTCGGTGCTCTTTAAAAGACAAGGGGCGCGTACAGTGCTTCGGAAGGCGGAAGTACCGACTGTCAGCACCGGAAGGTCAAGGGTCGGCATCTGGAAAACGGGGCTGTGTTCATCCCCACGCAGGCAGGCTACAGAGCGGCCTGGAGGCGGGAACAAGTCTGATTCAGCAGCCTGGGGCTGGCCTCTGACACGCTTCCAGGGGATGGTGACACACTAAGTGGAGAGTTTCTGTGTTTGGGAGAAAGTCAAATAAGGAGATCTGTCTATGTGTGTTCCTCCCATTCTCAACAGAAACCGTGACTAACCGCAGTCGGTCGGAGAGACACCATGAAATGAGTTCTCAGAGGAACAAGGAGCTGCAGGTTCACGTAAATGCAGCGCTAAGGCACCACAACTGCACGAAGACTGGCTCTTCCATCGTCAAACCCCTGGGCTGGCACGAGGCAGCAGCACCAGAGAGGAAGGAGGGACCACCCGGTCCCCACTGCTGCCAGTGCTGAGTTAGGGCATCACCTGGGGGTTCACCGATGAAGATGTTCTATGCCCCGAACCCAAAGGACGAGGGCATCCGTAACGTACTCCCCTCTTCTACACAAAGGACACCAAACAGCCAGCGCAGGCTGGGCGAGTCCCAATCACGGGACTGCTATTTAATCACAGTGACGGCAGGCCGGCAGACGGGCCGGGTCTGAGGGCCAGGTTACCTCTCCAAGCGTGCACAGCTCCATGATTATCCAGACGGGGTTCTCCGTGATGACACCGACCAGCTTCACGATGTGGGGGTGGTCAAACTGGCGCATCGTTACTAGGGAGAGACAGGTGTCCAAGGTCACTCTTCTGGTAGAGCGTTAGGTAAGGGGGCTGCTGTGCCCTGGGTTTTCTTGGCCTAGGTGCTCTGCAGAAACAAGCGAGCTGAGACAGGCTTTGTCTCGTACTTAAGACACAGGAACAGGATTAAAGACAGACTTAGACTTTTTTCTGATGAAAGTTACAGTATGATTTTGAGGAGTTATAACGTATTGACGAAGTCAGTGTGATTTACTCTATGACTTATTAATCTATTGGACTGTCAGGTGGCAAATATTTACTGAAATGGAAGGTAGAAGGCCTTCAATCGATGTACATGTAATGAAGGACACACGGAGCCATTCACATGACCAATGTCTACTGAGCGCCTTTCACAGCGGGGCGCTGTGTCTGAGCAGTGAGCAGAGCAGACACGGCCCGAGTCCCCATGGAGCTTAGAGCCTAGAGAAACGGAATAATAATTTTTAGGCAATGTTTACCTAGTTACAAATACTGAGGAAGGTGAGAGTGTGGTCCTGTGACACAGCCTCCTGAGGGGAAACTATTTTCATCACGCGGTCAGATGAGACGGGACAAGCCACCGGAGGGTAGGAAGGGCATCCCAGCCTGAAGGCAGCTGGGAAGAGCCAGACAGGTGCAGACGGACAGGACAAGCTACTAGCTCTCCATGAGTCTGTACTCTGCAGAGAACACCCACCCACGCGAGACCCTCCCAGCAATTTCATCCCTGGACATGTGAACAGAGAGCTGAGGGGTGGGCACTGTAGCAGGAGCAGGGCCCTGGCCATGGTCCCGGCTCTTTGCCCAGTCGGTGAGCTCCCTCAGGGTGGGGACCGCGTCTGTCCTGCTCACCCCCAACTCTAGGGTCTGGTGGCTCCTGGGCTGGACTCATTTCTACATCTGCCCAATTCCAGGGCCAGGATGCTGAATGGCGCAGGTACCAAAGGACACAGGGACAGTAAATCTGTCGACCTTTACACCCAAACATCAGGGCTTACCTGGACGATGTGGAGACAGGCGCCTCTACAGATACAGGTAGTAATTTGCAAGGCAAGACAGTAAATGCAGTTGTCACATAGAAGTCAGAATATTCTTTTTCTTACTTCTTAGAGATGGCTTGTATTTTACACAGAGAAAACGTCAAATGGAGCTCCACAGAAATTTCTAGAAACTTACAGGCTTCTTGAAGGAATTTCTCTCGCACGCTGTCCGAAGTACAGTTTTTACATGTTTTAATTGCGACCGCCAAAGCCGGATTCTCCTGCGTCAGGGAAATTTCAGAATCACACACATGCAAAAAGAGGTTCTCTACATGAATCAACGGGCACGTTCACGAAGAGCTGTTTGTTCTGCAACTATGTGGACTGTGGACCAGGCAGGATCAGAACTGAAAACCTCAGGAGAAGAACACTTCAAATACTCAGCAAGACCCCAGAAGAAACGGACACGGTGTTAAAATGCTGGAGGTCATTCGTTCGTTGTCCCACGAACACTTTCTGCTGCGTGCCAGGCAGCCTTCCAGGCGCTCAGGACGCACCCTGGGCTAAAGGCAGCAGCGTTCCCTGCTCTACTCAGGCTTCCGTTCCGGCAAAGAGCAGACAACGCACACAAGGAGTGAGGTCATCACAGAGCATGTTCGCGCGAACAGTGGCGTGGACCAGGAAGGAGCGTGTCAGGATGTGCGAGGCAGAGACAAGGGCGAGAAAATGGAAGGAGGGAGGGAGGGACTGGCGGGCGGGCACAGCCAGGGTCACAGTGCTGCGGCTAGGGCAGTGGTGGGGGCAGGGCCGAGGCGGTGCGCTGGGACAGGCAGCCCGAGCGGGGCCCTCTGGACCAAAAGAAAGGCGCCCCGGGGAGAGCAGTGCCATGGCTGACCTCTGGCTGAGAAGGAGCACCTGCTCCGGGAGCTGATGGGGGTGGGGGGAGGCGCAGTGGTGGGGTGGCGGCTGGGGCAAGTGTGGGCAGTGCAGGTGACGCAGGGTGAGGTGCGATGCTGGTAAGGAGACTTCAGGTGTTTGGTGAGAGGAAGGGAAGCAGCAGTTCGAGCAGGACCAGGACGTGAGGGGCGTGAGGTGGCGGGGAGATAGCGTGGCACCCAGGGCAGCGGCAGGAGGATCCGGCAGAGTTCAGGGTCGGATCCGCAGGAGATCCTCGCGGGCTGGGGCACGAGCACAGCACCCGGCCGCCCAGCAGTGGGAGGTGAGGGAGAGGGGGAGACCCAAGGCAGACTCAGAGGGGGAGCACCAAGCGGAGAGAAACCCAGAAGGCGTGTCGCTCTGCCTGCCAAAGAAGCTGATATCTTCTCGAACGAATTCAAAAGACAGAGCTTGAACAAGACAAATGAGGCCATTCCAAGCCTCAATGGAATACCATGGATGGTTTTCATTTACTTCGTTATACTTTATTTTTAGAGAGAGAAAGCATGAGAGAGAGAGAGAGAGAGAGAGAGAGAGAAGGAGGGAGGGAGAGGGAGAGAGAATCCCAAGCAGGCTCCAGGCTCAGTGCAAAGCCTGACTCAGGGCTCGATCCTGCGGGACTGTGAGATCGTGACCTGGGCTGAAATCAAGAGTCAGACGCTCAACCGACCGAGCCGCCCAGGTGCCCCCGTGGATGGTTTTAATTAGCAACTGAAGGGCTTATCCTACCCTGGGCTTCACACTGTCCTTGGCAGAACCACATACTGTTCATGCTGGATATTTTCCTAAGGTACCTCACATTCTGTCAAGTAGGCAGAAGAGGTGAGGACAGGAGGGGAGAAAGCAGCAGGGACAGCCCGGTGAACGGACGAAGGTTTAAGAAGCACTGCCTCAGGTCTCTGCCATGGCTGCCGTGCCCCGACTCCTACCCTGCCTCGGGGTCCCGTCCTCGCCAGAGGATCTGCAGAGGGGACGAGGTCACACAGGCCGAGAGACGGCAGCTCCGGAGTGAAGAGAGGAGGCCTCGGGGGGGGGGGGGGGGGGCTGCTGTCTTGGACCCCTCCTTTCCCCCCCCCCCCGGGGGGGTGGCCAGATGCAGGCGCCCTCACACAGGAGCGAGGAGCACTTAGCCATGAGATCCCAGACGGGGGCCGCACAGTCTCGCAGTCTTTAGTTTTCTCGACAGGCTTTGGGCATTTCTGTCCTTTTTGTACATCATCTCACTGAGCCTACAGGCGATCTATGAGGTAGCCTGACAAGGTACACAAGGGTCCGGGCCACCCATTCTACAGACGACCGGGTCGGCAGAGGCTGACAGGTTTCGCGGTTTGCCCGCGATCACCCTGCTGGAAGTGGCCTGCCCCTTCTGCAACAGGGCTTTATCTCAGGAGTGACCGGGGCAGCGTGTGCATGTGACAGGCGACAGGGAGTGGCAGCGGCTGTGTCACAGACTTAGCTCTGAAATGGTGGCCACGCTAGATTCTGAGTGCTGACGACACCTCAATCTGCCAAGCTACGGGAGCGTGACTCGCTGTCCCCATAGACGCCAGCCTCAGGCAGGAAAGACTGGCACAGGGGGAGAGTGGAAGGCAGGACACCACTTCCTGTCTTGTCAGTGTTGGGAAATCCCAGGGCGCAATCCACGGCCAGCCCGATGAGAAGCAGCCTCACTGAGCCCCAAGTCCCACCTCCATGCCGACCTCCTAATTCCTCTCTGTAGCCCTCACTTTGCCTTTCAGCTCAGACCCACATATCCAACCCACCTGTGCCCTGTCTTGACGAGGATGCTGTGAAGTTATTTCAAACTTGAACTGAGCAAAACAAACCTCCTGATATCCCACTGTGGTGGTTAACTGCATGTGTCCACTGGCCTGGGCCACGGGGTGCCCAGAGATTATTTGGTCAGACATTATTCAGAGTGTTTCTGAATGGATTTGACATGTAAATTGATAGACTGAGTGAAGCAGGTTGCGCTCCCTAATGTGGTGGGCCTCGTCTGATCAGCTGAAGGCCTGAACAGAACACAAAGCCGGTCTCCTGAACAAGAGGAAATTCCTCCTGCCAAATCGCTTTGCGCTGGGACATTATTCTTCCTTGACCCTCTGGACTACAACCACACTGGCTATGTTGGGTCTCGGGCCTTCAGATGCAGCCTGGCAGGAAGAAGCCATCAGCTCTCCTGGGTCTCCAGCAGGCCACCTGAAGATCTGAGGGGACGTCAGTCAGCTTCCATAATCACGTGAGCCAATCCCTAACAGATCTCGTTTGAAAGCACCCACACCCGCCTGCTTCTGTCTCCCCGGGGAACCCTTACTAACACGCCCACTATCCAACGTGCTTCCCTCTTAGCCTTCTCCGCCTCACTCAACAAGCGGAATTCATACCGATGCTCAAGCAGCCACTCTGGATTCCTCAGTTTCCCTCATCTCCCACAGGTCCAACAATCCGGAAGTGAGACACGCCCTCCCTGTCCACAGCGTGTGTCTGGAACTTTCCCTGCTAGTGCCTGTTATGGCGAGGCTCATGCACTCCCTCCCCAAGTGCCTTCCTAACAGCAAGCCCAGAGACCTAACAGAGACTGTAATTCAACTGTAATTCTTTCGGGTCAAGAAGCCTCACCTGCCTTTTATCTCAGTTGGGTAGAGCCAGTCTAAAAGTTAGTAGGCCTTTTGAGTAAATTTGGACCCAGGGCTCTCTGTACTGCTTTTTGGTTCAAAGAACAGAGGTAAGAGAATCAGGAAGATAATAACAGATATAGTAAAACAAAAAACAAACAAACAAACAAAAAAACAACTGGACGAAAAGTTAGCAGCTAAAAATACATAATAAATGACAGAATTACGTGTAAGAACAAGGTAGAGACTTTCAAAGCTGAAATGTAAAAAAAAAAAATGGAATCTCTGATTTGTTTAGTGACGCGGTGGCAATTGTCTGCTGCTCCTGTGACCCAAAGAAAACAAAACAAGAAAACCCTTTCAGCTCTAGAAAACCTGACAGGTATGGAACTACTGAGAAAACACCATTTGCAGCTTCCAAAGCAGGGGTAACATAAAACGTCAATCGTCTGTGTTACCACAGATCTTCCCTGACCTGAGATGCAGTTACGTCCCAATACACCCATCGTAAGTTGAACATACCCTGAGTCAAAACGCACGTAAATACCTAACCTACCAAATATCACAGCTGGGCCACACCTGCCTTATGTGTGCTCACAAACACTCACAATGGCCTATAGTTGGGCAAAACCAGTGGACACAGAGCATTATTTTATTTACTTTTTGAGAGAGAGAGAAAACGCGAGAGCACGCACACGGTGGGGAGGGGCAGAGGGATAGAGGCAGCAGATCCCAAGCAAGGCTCCACGTCCAGCACGGAGCTCGATCCCACCACCCTGGCATCATGACCCAAGCCAAAATCAAGAGTTGGATGCTCGACTGCCTGAGCCACCCAGGCGCCCCCTACAAAGCGTATTTCACACCGAAGTGTTGCTATCCCTGTAATTCACTAAATCCTCTACTGAGAGTGACAGGATCGCTGCGTGGCTGCGGAACGGCCGTCAGTGCGTCCGCTGTGGGCTGACTGGAAGCTGTGGCCGCCACCCTGCAGGGGAAGAGGACGCACATATCCCTGGCCTGGGGAAAGATCCGAATTCAAAATTCTAAGTGTGATTTCTACTGCATGAAGATCGCTTTTGCAACATCGTGAGATCAAGAAAGAGTAAGTCGAACCACTGTAAGCTGGGGACGGTCTGTGATCCCTTATTTGTGTCATCTGCGTACACCCGTTATTCCAGCTAAAAAAAGTTCCTTGAGTGAGTTCCTGCTGGTGTCTCACGACTGCCGATCTAACCGGCACACATACCATGACCGGTGTCGGCAGGGCTGCAGAGGGACGGCCATTCTCACGCACCGCTGCCAGGAGTGGAGGGAAGGGGCGTGGCCTCTTCGGAGACAGCTCCGGGTCAAAGGGAGGAACAGACACCACGTGACCCCGTGACCCGGCAATTCCACTCTCTGCCATCTACGCGAGAGAACCGAGAACTAACTACTCACACGCAGACCTGTGCGGTGCCCGTCACAGAGGCGTCATTCCTCACAGCCAAGAAGCGGTCACAGCCCAAATTCCCGTCAGCTGGAGAACGGACAAACACAAACGGTCTACCCACACAATCGAATGTTGCCTGGCAAAAAAGGACACTAAGTACCGCTTCACGCTCGAGTGTGGATGACCCTTGAGAACATGCTAACTAAAAGAACCGATCACGAAAGGCCACATGTCGCACGAGTCCGTGTACGTGAAGCATCCAGAAGAGGCAAATCTAGAGAACAGGGAGACGACTGGCTGCCAGGGGCCGGGGGAGGGTGGGACGGGAGTAACTGCTAGCGGGTGAGGCTTCTTTCTGGGGTAAAGAAGGTGCTGGAAAATGCACCGTGCTGTCGTTTGTACAACTCTATCAATATACTAAGAAACCACTGAACTGTATGTTTTTAAAAAGTACGTTTTATAGTATGTGATTTATACCTCAATAAAGCTATTAGTAAAGTCATAATCTGTTCCACCCAATGGAACACTCCTTGTGGGATCTGTTCCTGATGAGAGAGGCTGAAAGATCAAAATGAACAAAAGACAGACCCAGCCCTCTAGGAGCTAAGGGTGCCATTTCTCTGCTCCCGAACACTCCGAGCAGGTTGACGTGTGTGACGGGCTCTGTGAAAGACCTCTGCAAAGGAGAGCCGGGGACTCGAGAAGACAAAGAAGAGGCGACAGTCAAAAGCAGCGCGTTTTTCTGGTCGCCAGGGAGGACTTACTGGACTCATGTAGACGCCTTGGTGGACGTCCCCAAACTGGCCTTCCCCGATGCACCGTCCAAGCTCGATTCTTTCTCTTTGAATCTCGTAGTCCCTGGCTGCAAAGCACGATCCGTACGTCAAAAATCAGGTAGGTGCGGTATTCCAAATGCAGACACTACACTCAACGCATTTCCTTATCATCCACGAGTACAACTCTTACTGGTGGCACATCACTCTATGAAAATGCTTTAAACAGAGTGGAACTCTCTTAAACAGTATTGTGAAAGGAGTTACACAAACTGTTAACGGCATTGGTTGAACCACAAAACGATGTGAGTTCTATTAAAGGCAGATTTTTTTCATGTTTTTAATTCGATTTAGTTTGTATCTGTCTGATCGTTTTCTAAATAGTTTTTCCAAGTAGTAAATTATACGCTTAAGAAATCAATGCTATTAGTTTAGGTATTAATATACGAAAGTCTAAAAAACACAGTTATTTAAAGCAATTATTTTACAAATAACTGAAGTCTGAAAATACGGAGACAACGGGAAAACTGTGTCACGAGTAACTCTGTTTTAAAAGTTTAAGAGTTTTCCACTTTCTTACGATCCTATCTATATTATTCATGGAGCTAAAGAGTTTAAAGAGGCCATTTCTAAAAACTAATTTCAAAATTAGGTGACTTGGAATCAAGGTTGAACATACTGCATTACAAATGATGAGTGTTTTATATTTTTGAGAGCATTTGTCTCAAATCAACATATTAATTTCTTGCGATTTATACCAAACTGACTGTTTAGCAGGCCGTTGAGGCACATGGAAATAAAATAGCCACTAGCAACCTAGACCATGAATTCTAATCCAATTAACTGCTGCGGATTTTGATTTTCTCCGGCCAGGAAACCTGTCTGCACGATCCACGCTGCACGGACTCCATTAGTGAAGTCGCCAATGGAATAAAACAACAGCCAAATGTTTCAAAACTCTTCCTGGTTTACCAAATGAGAAGCCGTACAGAAAATCCGACTCAAATTTGAGGTGGTTCTTTTCCTCTTTAAAATCACTTTAGCTGGTAGTTCCATTGGTTTAATAGCACGGATAAACCAATGACAAGTGGTTTAAGGATAAAAGTTAACTGCGAACTGAAACGTCCCACACCACTCCGCAGGCTGCAATTGCAAGCAAATGCAGTTATTTTAAAGGAATCGTGTTACCTTCGTCTATTCCATAGCTTTCTGTATTGCAATTAAGGGAGAAAAAAATTGAAGACCTTGCTTAGAAATAACTGATAGCAATCAGGTTAACAACAACAAACTCCGAGAGTACGTTTCAATATTTACTGTGTGAAATATTTTAACCACAAACACCAGTAGGAAAAAGACTAGACATAAGCAAAACCTAAATCTCCTCAAATTAACTCGATGTGATGGACACAACGCTTTCCAGTTTCCATCTCCTAATTCCTACACAGTAACATCTTCGTGGGGTTTGGATAAACGTCAGCCACATTGGACACGTACTACTCAACACCGGATAATAAACGTCCAAGTGCAAATTTGGATTCTCTGTGGAAACGTACAAAATTTAAGTGTAAATTTAAACATTTTCTGTGGTGCCGGCGCACACAAGTCAGAATGCACACAAGTAAGCTTCCACTCTTCCCTCTGTTTTGGACCACTCTCTAACACAAGGAACCCTTGTGAGGGATTTGGGGGCACCCAGGACAATGCAGGCCTGATGCTGGTAATGCCTCTTTCATGTGTATAGTTCATGGAAATCAGAGCATCTTTTACAATAGTTACACAACAGGGTAAATAAAGTGCCTGAAACATTTATTTTACAAATACGTGTGGCTCTATGGAAATCAGGACATCCAATGCTGAATTTTTTTAATTAAAAAAAAATTTTTTTTTAAGTAAACTCTGTGCCACACGTGGGGCTCGAACCCGTGACTAACATCAAGAGTTGCATCCTCTACTGACTGAGCCAGTAAACTTTTTTTTTCTCATGTGAAGGCAATTTCAAGTGTGTCTCCAATTCAAGGTCTGGGACTCTATCTTCCAACACGAGACCTGGGGCTTCCGGATTCTCTTCAATCAAGAAGCAGCACAAAACAGAGAGAAGAAGCTGGTGTTTCTAGGCTGCAGGAAAGTCGT